CAAGATCGGCCTGCAAGAAGGGGACAGGCCCGGCTTCAAGCTCCAGGCCATCGCCGGGGCAACAAGGAGGACGAGGAGGAGGAGGAGGAGGAGGAGGAGGAGGAGGAGGAGGAGAACACGGGCAGCGCCCGCCAGGCTGCCCTCGGCGCGCCCGGCCAGCCGGCCCCACGGCCTCCGGCAGGGCCCCCTCCGGGGCGCCCGTGCCGCAGCGCGCTGCCCCGGAGCGAGCGGCCAGCAGCGTCGCAGCCCCTCTGGGCGTAGGTGGTTCCCGTCGTACTTAAGGACCACATCCCAAAAAGAACTTCGAGCACCCAGAAAAGTGTCGAGAGAGTGTTGAAACAGTGTCGAAACAGTGCCGGACGAGGGTCTCCCCGGGGCCCGACACGTGAAAACCTTCGAGTTTCGGTCCTCTTGCTGATGCTCGAAAAATGTTCTGGTGGTCGAGGCTAAAGTAGGTTGGAACATCATACCTCTGGGCCCTCTTTCGTTCACTGCTCCCCGCAGTCCGCTGAGTCAATGCTGAACGTGCTCTCGATGTCGCGCTGCTGAGGCTGCCTGTCGCAGGTCGACGCCGTGAGCGGGTGGGCCTCGGAGGTGGCCGACGCGGTTGCCCACGCGCACCGGGCGCAAATGCCCGCGCCAGCATCATGCCACAAGACCACCGTGGTTGCCCACGCCGACACGCTTTGGAATCTTGGCCCAGCTGCGCTCGTCGTGCTGCCGCGGCGAGCTCGGCCAGCAGCTTCGCCTCCGGGGGCCACTCCTGTGGACCGTGGCATCGACTCCGCAATGGTGGAAGCCGAGGCGCTGCTCGACTCCTGCGTGGTGGGCAGCACGGTGGCGCCCCATGCCGTGGTACCGGATAGCGTCGTGGTGCTCGTACCACGCATCTCCGCAGCCGGATAGCGGCGGGGAGTTCAGCTCCGTCGTGGTGGACAGCGTAGTAGTGCTCGACTCAGTAGCGCCGGATACCGACTCGGCGCTCGACTCAACCATGGCGGACGAAGTGGTAGCGCCCGATTCCGCAACTCTGTGTAGCGCCCTGCTGCTCGACACTGCCGTGGTGGACACCATGGCTGTGCTCGACGCCGTAGTGCTGGATATCGACGCGATGCTCGGCTCCATCGAGAACACCGTGCTAGCGGCTCGATTCCGTAGCGCTGCAGATTAATGTGGTGCTGTGGCCCGATAATGAAGGACGACGTGCTAGCGCCCGATTCCGTATTGATGGATAGCGACTCAACTCCGCAGTGCTGGATATCGACTTGATGCTCGACCGTCGTGAACGACACGTCGTTGTGGACATCGTGGTACGCTCGCTTGGTCAGGCCGGATGCCGACGCGGTGCCGCCCCGTTTCGTCGTTCGGCCCAGCAGTGGCAGCCCGCCACGCGGTGCTCGGCTCTATCGTAGTGGACACCGGACACCGCGGCACATCTCGTCAGACAATTCGCCCCAATCGTGGATGTGCGACTCCTGATGTTGCTCCGTAGTATGGTGCTAACTTGTGCCACTCGCGGATGTCAGAGCCGCGACGCTGTTCTAGGACGAAGTGTGCGTCCCACAGGCATCACGAACACTCGTCAGCGAAGGGCTGGTGAGTGTCGGGGCGCTCATTACATTGCTCGTCCCACTCAGCAAAGGCAGAGCCTTGCTGATCAGTGATGTTGTGCTCGTCGTACTGCTCGTGCCACTTGTGATGACAAGGTCGGGATGCTGCCGGATATTGTGTCGCTGGTCCCCAGGGTGATGTTCCCCAACGGGCTGCTCGGAAACGGAGACATCGTCGCAGTGCTCGATTCGCCGTGCTGCCGCTGGAGGACGTCGCGGTCGCCGCGATGCTCGTGCTACTCACGGGTGTCAGAGTTGTAATGGTGTTCCATGACGTGGTCCTCGTCACTCTGCTTGCCACACCGTCACCTCGCGACAAGCCGGCAGCGCCGCGCCGTCCCAACAAGCTCGGCCAGGAACAATAAAACAGGGCTAGGATCGGGATAGATCGCTCCAAAGCGTTCCGGAGCGCTCTCAGAGCGTTCTGGAACGCTCTGGAGCGGCCGCGGCGCCCAATACATCCTCCAAACCCGCCGATCCTCAGAGATTTCGAGTTATCCCGATACGATTTTGTCCCGATCTTCGCGTCGTTTTAACACCCCCCCCGCTTCCGCGGTAATCTCAGGATCGCCCGGCCTTCCCGCGGCAGGCTGGCAAGGAGCGCCGCGCCTCCCCGGCGGCCCTCGGCGCGCGGCTCCACGGCCCGCGCCGCGCGACCCTTCTCGCCACAAGCCCACCAGGCGCGCCACACTGCCGCGACGGCTCCGGCCAGCCGACCGCCCGCGCGCTGGCCTGGCGACGGACCGCAGCGCCTCCACGGCGCGGCTCCTATCGCTGGTGTTCGGCAGCCGCAGGCCACGCCAAGGGCTCCCGGCCCAGGGCGGCAGGCAGGGGAGGCGGGCCAGTTTGCGCCCTCCCGTCCTCGCGCGGCTGCTCACGGGGCCGCTGGCCCATGAGCCCCCCCCCCCCACACACCCGCCCACCCGCCCTGCGCGCGCGGGAGTGCCACAGCGAGGGGGAGGCGGTCCCGTTCGCACCCCTCAAGCTCACCAGAAGCTGGGGCAGCGACGCCCGCACCCCCCAGCTTGGCAGGATGTGCTGCAGAGTGCCCTTGAGACGCATGGCCTCCACCGAAAGCCCCGAACTGCCGCCACCGCGTCCGCAAGCAGTGGACGCTAGCGCCGGCGCCCCGCGAGCCACAGGCGGCCTTCCGTCCTCGCCTGCCCCGCCGCGGCCTTGGCGGGCAAGGGAGCCGTGGGCCTAGGCTAAAACAGGGCTAGGATCGGGATAAATCGCTCCAGAGCGTTCCGGAGCGCTCTCAGAGCGTTCCGGAACGCTCTGGAGCGGCCGCGGCGCCCAATACATCCTCCAAACCCGCCGATCCTCAGAGATTTCGAGTTATCCCGATCCGATTTTGTCCCGATCTTCGCGTCGTTTTAGGCCTAGGCGTCGTCCTTGGAACCGCCGCCCTTTTGGCGCGTCGTTGCCGGCCACGGCGGCGGCCAACTGCCCGTGGGCCTTCCGAGGGGCAGATGCTGGCTGGCGCCGCCTGCGGCCGCCGGTGCCGCTGCAGCCGCGGGCCGCCTCGACCACCAGGGCGGATGTCCTCGACCACCACGGAGGACATCGCTGCCGCCGTCGGCGCAGGCGGTGTGAGCCGCGAGAAGGGGCCCCCTCGGGCAGCTCCGAGGGCGCCGCGAAGAGCGGTCCCCGGGCGCGTTGTTGCTGCATCGGTGGAGCACGCGGACAAAAATAGGGGATGGGGCGAGGGGAACACGAAAGGTGACTTACTGGGGATAGGTGGAGGTTGGGGACGCTGGGGAGGGAGGACGGGTGGAGACGAGGGAGAGGAGGCGATGGGGAGGCAAAGGGGAGGAAACGCCAGGCAGCCGAAGAGTCGCAGGCGGGGGAGAGAAGGGCGGGGTGGGAGAGGAGGGAATCAGTGACGGCGAGAGACCAGGGGAATGAGGGACCGAGGGCACGGGCGATAGGGAGGGCCAGCTGCTCGGGTGCGCGCCCCATGGAGAGCGCGTGCTAAACCGGCACAGGCCCCATATCAGAGTTAGGGGGCTGAACCGAACGGTCATTCGGAATTCCGCGATGCGGAGTGTTGTTGTTGTTTTTGTTGTTGTTGCTCTTGCTGTTGCTCTTGTTGTTGCTGTTGCTGTTGTTTGTTGTTTGTTGTCGTCGTCGTCCCACCCGCGACCCGCCCCGCGACCCACCCGCGACCCACCCCGCGACCCACCCCGCGACCCACCCGCGGCCCACCCCGCGACCCACCCGCGGCCCACCCCGCGACCCACCCGCGACCCACCCCGCGACCCACCCGCGACCCACCCCGCGAGCCACCCGCGACCCACCCCGCGACCCACCCGCGACCCACCCGCGACCCACCCGCGACCCACCCCGCGACCCACCCAACATTTTCTGCGCCTGCCGCGGGCTTCTCTCGCATTCGTTCCATGCTTCTGTTGCATTCGTGAAGGCCACGAGGTCCGCCGGCTCGACGCCCGCGTCGCCCGCGCCCAACCCCGCACTCTCATCCGCACTTGCGGAGTGCTACGTAATCGGCCAGACAGGCTGAGGCAAGATGGCAGGAATGGAGAATCAGACTTTGTCGACACACAGCGATCGGCAATGTAACGAGGAGGCGCGACGTCCTCGATTAAGAACGGAGTGCGTCTCTTGAACTTGCGCGTGCAATCCTTGCGCACGGGGCCACGCTGATGGTCCCAGATTCGGGAATCTGGCCGGGCGAGGGGGGGATCCGGCGAAGAGAAGCAGGAAGAGGAGGGATGAGGGATGCAGCGATGAGGGATGGATGAATACATGAAGGAATGGATGAATGGACGAATGAATGAATGAACCGACATCCATAAAACCATGTCATGTGACCACACGAAGTCGAGCACGACACCGCCGTGCCCCGGAGGCAGAAGGGGCCTGTTCCCTGGCACGGCTCCTCGCTGCGAGCTGCGACATCCGCAACTCGCAGCTGGGCTGAGGCAGGACGGAGGGAGGACGGAGGCGGGAGGGCGGGAAGGAATACAGTCGGGGCGTTGACCTGAGGAACCCTAGATCAGGAACGAGGCCCCCTTTTTTCCATAAGTTAAACTTCGATTCCCCATGGAAAATACAAGGAACCCCTGAGGCAAGCTGTGAAACACTTACGGAACGCGGAGCCCCTCCCCAACGAGAAGCCTTCCTTCCTGAAGGGGAACTGGAACACACAAATAAAAATATCCCCCATATTTTCCCATATTTTCTGGGTTTTTGTCTTCCCCACCACTTCCCATATTCTTGCATATTTTCCTGGGAGTCGACGATGAATCGTGTCTGTGAGTTTCTTTCCCTCCTGACTTCCTCAGGGCCCCGACTGCAGCCTCCCCCGTGGAGTCGGACGAGCCCTGGCCCGCCCGCAGGGGCCGAGCGCGCGCCCGAGGCCCCGGCCCACTGTGGCGGAGAGGCCCAGGATCTGCACGCCGGGCGGGCAGTGTATGATGGCCTCGCGGCGCGCTCGCCGTGGGGCCCCCCTTCCTGCTCCCCCCCGTCCTCCTGCGCCCCTTCCTGCTGCTCCGTCTCCTGCTCGACCCTTCCTCCTCCGCCTCCACCTCCTCCACCTCCTCCTCGTCGTCCTCCTCCTCCTCCTCCGCATCCTCCCCCACCTTCCCCTGATCCGCCTCCTCCTGCTAATCTGAAGGGAAACTGGGACACACAAATAAATACACACAAATAAAATGTTTCCCCATATTTTCCCATATTTTCTGGGTTTTTGTCTTCCCCCCCACTTCCCATATTTTCCAATATTTTCTGGGAATCGCAAATTAATTGTGTCTGTGTTTTTTTCCCTCCTGATAATCTCCCGCCGGCGCCCGTCCTCCTGCTGCCCTCGTCTCTCCTCCCCGTGCTCGTACGTACCCCTCTGCCGTTCGAGCGTACACCCTGCGAAATGCTTAAGAGATCATGGGTTAAGAAATTCTTAGTCTCAGAACTTGACTAAAAACCCAGAACTTTTATCAAAATCTTGGGATTTACATTGAAACGTTAAGAATAATCGAGACTCTGGCCGAAAACTCAAGTTTTCTTAAGCATCGCCTAAGGTGTAGATATGAGAGCCCCGCGCAAGTAACATGACAGGGAGTCCGCTGTGCAAGACTGCACGTGTCCGAAATATAGAGACTACAATGGACCAGGCTGTTGGAGACAGCTGGCATGACCTAGCAGTCAGACGCTCGGAGAGAGACAGACGCGGGTCGAGTAGGGCATGAAGAGGGTCCGAGAAGGGGCCGCTTGGAGCGAGCTTACATGCATTCGATTATCTATGTGTCTCGTTCCTCGTTCTCTTCTTTTGTTGGGCCTCTTTGTTTCCCTCCCGCCCCCTCTCTCTCTCTCTCCCTCTCCTTCTCTCTCCCTCTTTCGTTAGTGTGTTCTCTCTCTCTCTCTCCCTCTCTCCCTCTCTGCATGTGTACATTTGTGCACCTACATACATACCTCATGTGTTTGTTTGACTCGCTAATCGTACCGATGTTCTGGTATCTCCTCCCGTTGCATACGTACATGTACGACGGACGGAAGGACGATAAGGAGGCCGTGAGGGTGAAACCAATGACGGGACAACCATCGGGACAACCGTCTCCATCCATGGACAGCCACGATCGGGGTATCTATACATATCTATAATGATGATAACGATAGTGCAGATATCGCTCTCGCTGGCGACCGTTACGGAGTCACACAAGTCACTTACATACACATGTTTATCTGTTCATAAATCTAGGTGTATGTGTGTAGATCCCAGTGTGAATATACATATGCAAACGTATGTAATTATGCATATATGAAGACTGGTATCTCTATACGTACACAGATATCGCGATCTATGTCAGAGAGATGGGGGCGAACGGTCATTCACTGCTCCTTGGTGCGTGGCTTATGTGGGGTTCCGCGGTGCGGATAGCTGTTGCGTGGTTGCTGAACTTTCACTTTTGGAAAATACATTTTGCTGACCCCCCCACCGGTACACGTTCGGGGAGACGTAAGACCCGGGTACGGGGGACTCGGAAACCCCCGACGAGGTCGTCAAAAAAATGACGAGGCCGAGCCTGCATTTTGACGAGGCCTCCCGCTGCAGACATCCCACAAAACTCCTCCTCGTCAAAATCCGAGCCGCGCTCGAACTTTCCCTGGAGATCTCTGGATTTACCTGGATTTACCCAGATTTATCTAGATTTACCTGGATTTACCTCGATTTATCTGCATTTACCTGGGTTTATCTGGCTCGATTCTCACAAGTCGATTGGCGAAAAGTCGACAAGCCCTTAGGGACCCCACCGGTACACGTGCCCTGTCCCCTCGAGGCTTGTTGACTGGCTGGTCGGCAGGCCTGCTGGACGCGGCTCGGAAAGCTCGGCCGACGGCTCCGTTTCGGGACAGTCGGTGGTCCGTCCTTGGGGCCTGGGCTGCCCCATCACTACGCCCTGCGAAATGCTTAAGAGATCATGGGTTAAGAAATTCATGGTCTCCGAAATTCAATAGAACCCAGAACTTCTATCAACAAATCTTGGGATTTGCATGGAAAAGTTGAGAATAATCGAGACTCTGGACGAAAACTTAGGTTTTCTTAAGCATCGCCTAAGGTGTACACGTGCCCTGTCCCCTCGAGGCTTGTTGATTGGCTGGCTGGCAGGCCTGCCGGACGCGGCTCGGAAAGCTCGGCCGACGGCTCCCTTTCGGGACAGTCGGTGGTCCGTCCTTGGGGCCTGGGCTGCCCCATCACTGCGCCCTGCGAAATGCTTCAGAAACCATGGGTGAAGAAATGCATGGTCTCAGAAATGGAATAGAACCCAGAACCTCTATCAACAAATCTTGGGATTTACATGGAAAAGTTAAGAATAATCGAGACTCTGGACGAAAACTTCGGTTTTCTTAAGCATCGCCCAAGGTGTACGCCTGGCCTCTCGGCTGGACTCGCGGACTGGGCCGGCCGGCACGGGTCCTGCTGGCCCCAGGCGGCAGGGACCGCAGCGGCCGGGACCGCCACGGGTCCTGTTGGCCCGTTTGGCGTCTCGGGACCTCCCTCGTCTCGGGTCGGGCGAAAGGGGGGGATAGCAAAGGGGGGGTTTGAGAATCAGCTCACGTAGCTGATTTTCCCCGCGCCTCCCGGCGCCGGAAGCGGCTATGTATCGAGGAATGGGCCCCTCGGTGAGGCCGAAACCAGCTGCATGCAGCAAATTTCGTAACCCCCCCTTTCCCAATCCCCCCCTTTCGCCCGACCCGATCGTCGCCGGCTGTCCCCGGGTCCCAGGAGGTGCGCATGGAGGTTGCAGGCGGATCGAAAGCGCCGCTCCCCGGCCCAGCCTGTTTTTAAGCAGAGCGTGAGCCTGTTTTTGCACAATCTTCATTCTCATTCCCGTCCTCATCCTCGTCCTCCTCCTCCTCCGTCTCCTACCCCTCGTCAACAGCATCATCATCATCACACCACCATCATCAGCATCATCAACGTCGTTGTCTTTGACCTGAACTGAATTGCAAACAAAAATCCGCTGCTGGTGAGGGAGGTTGACGATGCCACGAGCATTCGGAAAAATCAAAGGATACCTCATGGATCTCTGCGAGAAAAAAAGCATGCTGCCCAAACAGGTCTCTTCTGCGTATGCGCGGCACCCATGGGAGCCTCCTCCCACGCCACTCCACGGGAGGGGTTGTTGATAAAGTGCAACTCGTCCAGCACCACGCAGTCCAACTGGTCTAAGCCCAGCGACGACGACGAAGCGTCCGAGTTCGGCAAATACAACAAGTTCCGGAAAACCTCTGCACCGTCATCCAGAAAGTGCGGCATGCAACGTGCTCACTAATTTGTTTCCCAACACGTGCATACGACCTGCATGTGATCGTACGCGTACATTTGTTCAACCGATCCAAGGCATACCTAGCCTGTGCTATCCACATGTCAGCGGCACATTTTAGATCCCGCCACATGCGTGTGACTGCAGAACAAGACGTATAGACATATACACGTAGACATGTGCTATCTATACGTATATGTATATACACATGAATCGATCGATCGACAGATCGAAACATCGGTCGATATATACGTATATATATATGAGGGAACACATATATATATATGTATAGAAAGACAAAAATGGACAACTGTATGTATATAGTGAAACAAACCAATACACATTTCCCAATCGGAGCTTGCCTCTGCAGGGGTCCTAGCGGATTCATATGGTTAGGTGAGGTTTGCCTGGTGCCCGGGTGACCGGGTGCCCGGGTGCCGCCCAGGTGCCCCGGTGCCCGGGTGACTTATAGCCATATGGCCCTATAGCCCAATAGCACTATAGCCTTATAGCCTGATAGCCCGATAGCCCCATAGCCCAATAGCCTTATAGCCCAATCGCCCTATAGCCCTATAGCCTTCTAGCCCTATCGCCCTATCGCCCTATAGCTCTATAGCCGTATAGCCCTACTATAGCCCAACAGCCCTATAGACCCATAGCCCTATAGCCCTCCAGCCCTATAGCCCTACTGTAGCCCAACCGCCCTATAGACCCATAGCCCTGTAGCCCTGTAGCCCTCCTGTAGTCGCCGACCGATCGGTCCAAGACGGTACATATTGCCTCCCGACGCCCCCAGGAGGCCAACATGTGGCCAAAACCTTAGTAAAAGCAATGATTTTGGCATTGTCGCCGAGGCCTCTTGGAGCGTCTTGGGTGCCTTTGGGGGGCCTCTTGGGGCCTCGCGGGGGTCTCTTGGGAGCTTCTTGGGGGCATCCTGGGGGCCTCTCGGGGCCTCCTGGCCACCTCTTGGGGCCCTCTTGGGTCGGGAGCCTTGCGAACGCCCGTGGGGCCATCTCGGAGGAGATCGATCAAAGAAGGGGGGTCTCTCAATTAGCGTTGCCCCCTCAAGATGCCAAAATAGGGCCAAAACTATAGTAAAACCAAAATGTAGGCTTCCTTGCCGGGGCCGTTTTTGACGCTCTAGCGACCCGCGGAACGCCCCGTACAGATCCAGGGAAGGGGGTAGCGGGAGGGGTAAACACCTCCCCGAAGGGGAACAAGGGGGTGGAAGAGCAAACACCCTCAAGCACCTACGCCCTAAAGGGCTGGTGGGACTTAATCGGCAATCCTTCCAACCGACCCCTTGCTGCGAAAATCCACAGTAAAATACTAAATCAAGATTCCTGGGTGGGGAGTCCTTCGTACGGAGCCGCTAATAAAGACAAAGAAATGACGATTCTGTATTAAGATACCATTTATAAGGAACATCAGTAGCAATTCATTCGCAAAGAACCCTTATTATGGAATCGGTACTCGGGAATCCTCAAGACGGAATCCTTCGAATTCAATCTTTACTACGGAATCCTGGGTGGGGAACCTTTCGCAAGGAATCCTTGCTACGGCATCCTCAGTAAGGAATCCCTTAGTAAGAAACCCTCTATAAGGAGCCCTTAGTGGGGATCCCTGTGGATAGGGAATCCTTGATCAGGAGTCTTCTGTCAAGAGCCTTCGTTTAAGGAGTCCAAAACTAGGAGTACTTAATGAATAATCATTACAGCAGAATCCTTCGTGAGGAATCCTTGCTGGGGTGAAGCACTGGTAATGGACCCTGAAGAAGGACTCGTTCATAGAAAATCCTGAACAAGGGACCCTTGGTAATGAATCGGAAGCTGCAAGCCAACAGTCACACAGTCAGCATAAAGCTTTCTCCTGGGACAGGGCCCCACACTCGTGAAATAAAATGTGACACGGGCGCCTCGCCTACTAAGAAACCCTAGTTTTTTACTAATGAGAGCGGACTCAATACATCCCCATACGGATCCCCCACCAACGGGATGCTTCGCGAAGGTTGCCGTGGTCAAAGGCATCCGGTCGAATGACCGATTGCAAAAATAAAATGTAGTAAGCATCTCCTACAAAGCGAATGCTCACTAAATGCCCCGTATTATCGGACGGATGCCATGCCTAGGCCTTGTCCTTCAGCACAAGCCGCACCCGTTCCCGCAGTTCTACTCCAGTGGCGGTGGTGGTGGCGGCCATGGGGGCGAAGCGTGACACATATCTTAAAAATTGTATGTTTTTTTCAATGCCCTCCACCACCACCACAACACGCACCCAATATTCCGCAAACTATTCGTCACTCAGGACCCATTCTAGAAACCCCATGGGAAGGAGCCCTTACTGAAGAAAGTGTTGCATAGGAGCCCTGACATCTGCACATGCATATATGGATTCCAAACGGTGCTCAATACCCGTGCCATAGGATATGGCAGGGGGCGCCTCGCCTGTTCCCCCCCCCTCCCACCTCTATCACCAAGTCTCCTCAGTCGCTGCCCTCCTACGCACTTGCTTCACCTCGGAGAGCAGTGGTCGCAGAGCACATCAGTCCACGGAGGGGCTGTCGGGCGATCGCGCGCGCAACCACAATAGGCTCACCTTCCACGCCGGGGCCCATCTGCTCTGGAAGAATCACGTACGATAGGGGGCGTGGGCCCCCGTGCGCACGCGCCACCACCACAGCTCGCTCTTCCGCACCGGAGTTCGGCGGCCACGAAGGATAAAAAACCATGGCGGACGAGGCAGGGCCATCGATCGCAGAAGGTGCAAGCACGATAGGGGGGAGCGGGCCACCGCGCGCGCACGCCTTCCGCATGCTTTACACTGCAGGCGTGAACCCCAGAGCAAGGGACAAAAACAAGCCTGATGATGCCGCGGGTCCGCGGGCGCACAGTCATGGCGGATCGGGGCCATCGTGGGGCTCTGGTCGGCCCTCGTGGGGCCCCAAACGAGTCCCAGCACAGCTCCTTTGAGATAGCGCAGGGTCAGCACATCTTCGGAACTTTGTGCTTCCCATGGGACCACAAGCGTTCCGCTAACCTGTTGTGATACCATTGAGAACTACAAGCATTCCGAACAATTGTGTGGTTCTCAGGGGCTCACGAAAATCCGAAGATTCTCGACGCGGCTCTGCGTGGCAATCTTCGTGATGGCCCCACTCGTGATCACACAGGTTGCCAGTATTTTCTGGGTTTTCAGTATTTTTTCAATATTTTCTGGGTGTTTGCCTTCCCTCCCACTTCCAACATTTTCCCTTATTTTCTTGGGGATAAACGATTAATTATGTCTCTGTGTTTTTTTCCCCTCCTGACCTTTGTGATACCCAGGGAGCCACACACGTTTGCGAAGTGTTGGTGGTCCCCCGGGGGCCGCGAAGCTCCGAAGGCTCCCAGCACAGATCCTCGCGGCAGTCTTTGGGACGGCCACGACCCCGCTGGTGATCACAAATGCTGTCGCGAAAAGCCGCGCTGAGAATTGTTGGGCCCTTGCGACTCCCAGGAAACATAAAGATTGGCGATATGTTTGTGGTTCCCTGGGAAATCACCAAAAGATTCGAGGATGCCACTGTCACATTTGTGATCGCAAGCTGTGCCGTCGCAAGGATGACAGCGAAGAGCCGCGATGAATTCACAGCGAATGTTTTCAAGCAGATCGGTGTCAAGGAACTGCCTGAAAACCCAGAGGTCCCCACTGCCCTTGTTGCCAGCAACAGCATCAGCAACAACAGCAATCATTTCAAGACTGCTCGCTCTGACATGCTCGCGTGCCATCCAACACGTATACTCCAAACCCTCGGTACCCGCCCTCTTCGTCTTCGATCGTTTCCGCGTGGGGGTACATCTTCCTTACCTGCCGCGTGTGATTAGTGTAGTGCAGCCCCTGAAACTGGGAATGGAAAGACAAATGGAAGGGGGAGGGAGAAGGATGGAACACGGGATTAGCAGGAGGGGGGATAGGAGCAGCAAACATGCGGCATAACCAGACGGGCCCATCGGGCGGTAGACCCAAACGGGCGGGCCCAAGCGCCCAGGTCGAGGCGTGTTGCTGAAGCATGAATGCTGCGTGACTCGAGAGGAGAGCTCGAGCGGCAGCGCGATTCCCAAGGAAATCGCAAGAAAGGCCAGAGCGAGAACGTGATTCCCGAGGGTCGAGGGCGCGGCGTCTGAATCCATTGCGAGAAACTCCCACGCGAGAGCGCGATTCCGGCATAGTTTCTGCAGAAGTTCCGCGCGAGAGCGCGAGTTTGCAACAACTTGTGAGGGAGAGTAATGCGGGAGCCGCTGCTGTTCTAACTCGGGGGCCAAGGGCCCAGTTTCGTGGCATCAAGCTTCTCCTAAGAAAAGACAAGGTGCGAGCCCCGAGGGGGGCACTCTTTAGCCGACTAATTCAAAATGGTTGCCGGAACTGGGATCAACAATGATCATTCTTTAGAAATGAGAGCCCATGCACAACAACAACAACAACAACAACAACAACAACAACAACAACAACAACAACAACAACAACAACAACAACAACAACAACAACAACAACAACAACACAACAGCAAATTCGTACCGCGGAACCCATATCACTCGCGCACCCAGGGACAGTGAAGGACCGTTCGTCCCCCCTCACTCTGACCCGAAAAGAATGCACGCGCCACCCTGCCGACACGTCTGGTGGCACGACGAGTCTATCCTGCTCTCGCCTCCTCCCCCCCGTTCTCCTCACCCCTAAGAGTAGGCTGGGCATGTCCCCCCTACAGGCGGATTTTAGACGATTTTGCTTTACCAAATAAAGACTCCCAAAATGCACCAAACATGGTCAAGAGTATAAAAAAAATCGACCCCATACAATTTTTTGACTATTTTTGAATATTCCCCCTGTAGAGGGACAGGCCTGGGCACGGGCCGCGGCAGGGAGGAGGAGGAGGAGGAGGAGGAGGAGGAGGAGGAGGAGGAGGAAGAGGAGGAGGAAGAAGAGGACGAAGAGGAGGAGGAGGAGGAGGAGGAGAGGGAAGGAGGAGGGAAGGAGGAGGAGGAAGAGGAGAAGGAGGAGAGGAGGAGGAGGAGGAGAAGGAGGAAGAGGAGGAGGAGGAGGAGGAGGAGGAGGGGGGAAGGGCCGCCGCGCCGCCTCGGTGGTCATCACCACCACCGGCGCTCCCGGCAGCACGCTGTGGTCTCCTCGTGCGGGCGCGCAGGATGAGGAGGAGGAGGAGGAGGAGGAAGAGGAGGAGGAGGAGGAGCAGGAGGAGCAGGAGGAGGAGGAGAAGGAGCAGGAGGAGGAGGAGGAACAGGAGGAGGAGGAGCAGGAGCAGGAGCAGGAGCAGGAGCAGGAGGAGGAGGAGGAGGAGGCAGGGAGGAGGAAGAGCAGGAGAAGCAAACTCTCGGCGTCGCCCCGACGGGCGGTTCCAACAGGTACGCAAGCTTCTGAGTATACAGGCTTGGAGAACCCCGAGGCTGGAGGCGGCACTCGAACAGTATCCCCGCTTCCCTTCCCCCTCCCCTCTCCCCTTCCCTTGCCCTTTCCCTTCCCCGTTCACACTGACGCCGTATGAGCACAAATATAATTTCTCGTTTCTCCCGCCCCCACGTATTGCCTACTGACACGCATAATGACATGATCATTCTTGTCATATTGAGTTTCCCCGTCGGACGGATTTTGTTGCTCCACAATGGTTATCCCGCTGCGGCGTGGGCCTCATTTCAGGATTGGCGTTTTGCTCCCGTCGTTCAGTCAGAATGGCGCTCTCGCCCCAGCACGGGCCACTTGAATCCTTCCCCATCGTGGTCGTCCACCTCCTGCCCCCTCATCCGACTTCCCCTGGTCATTCTGCTCCTCCCACCCCTTCCACTCCGACTCATGCTGCTGTTCTTTGTCCTCGTCCTCATGCTTCCTCATCCTCCTTGTCGTCCTGCCCATCTTCCTGCTCATCCGCCAACTCCTCCCCCTCCAATGTACGCGGCCCCCCTTCTCCGGTTGATCACAGCACGGATGGGGTCCTTTTGTAATTCCCCCAGCCCTCGGGGCGTGAGTGGGTTTTGGATTTCGTTCTTACTCCCACGCCCCCTACCCACTCTCCCTGGGTCTGGAACCCTCTCCTCGCGAGGTGTCAGAGGGTGCTTCTTGGCCCCAGATGGCCCCAAGGGGGCGCCAGAGGGCCCAAGATGGTTTCCGAGATCGCCCAATATACCCAAAGATGGTTCACAGTAGCGTCCAACATGCCTCCAAGAACACTCAAGACTGCCCCAGGACGGCACAAATTGTCCTCCGAGCCCACCAGGGAGGCCCCCAGGAGGCCAACATCCTGTTTACGCCACGATGTGCCCACTGTGATTACGTAGAGTGTTCGCCTTTCCGCTTCCGACTGGCTCCTTGGGCTTCCAGATGGCGCCACTAAGGCCCACAACGGCCCGAAGAGGGCCCAGGGCGGCCCACTGACGGCCCAAAGAGCGCTCAATAACGCCTGAAGAGCGCGCCAAGAGAGCCCCAAGGGGGTAAGATTCGGCACCAGATGGGGGGACCCCAGTCTACGCCACACTCTTGTTTGCCCGAGAGAGCCTCCAAGCTGCCCCGCAAAGAAGCCTCCACGGCCCTCCCCGATGCCTCCAAGAGGGCCCCACGAGACGCTGAACATGGCCCCAGGAAGGCCCCAATACGGCCTCAAAACGGTAGCCTGCCACATACAACCACGTTGCACATGCACTCATGCACGTATGGCGTAGCACGCGCACCACAAGATACGACAAACGACCACACAACCAAAACAACCACAAGGAACCGCAAGCAACTCGCTCGGCGTTTGTTTTTGGATGGGTTGGTTGGAATTTGTTTGCTCGCGAGCGACGCAGGCAGCTGCGCGCCGTCAAAACAGGTCGTAAAATGAGGGTCAGGCACAGCGCATCTGTCGCCGGCGACGCGCGGGAAAATTGACAAGCGATGCGCAGCGGCAGCGCGGAGGCAGGAGCGAACGAGGACAACAGAGGAAGAAGGCAAAAGAAACGAGGGCACAGAAGAAAAAGGATAACGAGGGACGAAAAAGACACGGACAAGAAAACGGGCGCGCAGGAGATCAGGCTCAGGCGACGAAAAGGACGAAGCATCTTGCCGAAACGCGGGGAATTGATATACAGGGGGGGTAGCGCAAGGCCGTCTCCAGGGCCATAAGATAAGCCGCAAGGTAAGCAACCTCCAGGAGCCACCAGGGGAATGGGCACGCCCCAAGTGAGACGAGGAGAAGGGCCGGAAGGGTTGCCCAGTGTCGACAGTGACATCAGCCCAACAGGGGGCATGTTCGTCAACCTGCCCTATATGCGACCCAGGGCGGGGGCACCGCCGTCAGAAGCCAACAACCCAGAGGGCTAGCGCGGACGCGGACGCGTCAGGAACCAGTCCCTGTGGAGGGGGACCACGAAGCATGGGACAGGCGTACGATCTGGTAGGGTGTAGCTGACAACCGCAGAAGATTGTGAAAGGGTCCGCCTGAGACATATTGCTGCGCTGGCAATGGACAGCCTGGGCCACTGCGCTTCCCACAACGAAACCGAGCGTCAGCCGCAGGATGGAAGGGGGTCACTCCACCTGCAGCGCCAGTTCGCTGGTAGGGCGCAGCTGACAGCCGCAGCAGGATGGGAACTGTACTGGTAGGGTCAGTTGACAGCCGCAGTAGGGCTGAGTAGGGTACGCCGGAGACATATGCTGAGCTGGCATTGGGCACCGCCACCAAGCCGCCTCGTCCGGATGGAACTGGCAGCCGCAGAGCGGAGGGGGGTCGCTCCGCCTGGGCTGTGCCGGGTCTCTGGGAGGGCGCAGCTGACAGCCGCAAAGGAATGGATTTGCCCTGGAAGGGTGCAGCTGACAGCTGCAGGAAGATCGAGAAGGGACTGCCTGAGACATTGCTGCGCTGGCATGGGGCACAGCCCAAGCACTGGTCAATTCGAATCCCAAAAATCGGCCGCCGGCCAGAGGGGGCTGACTCCGCACGTAGTGTGCCGAGCCCCAGATGAGGTGCAGCAGACAGACAAGGAGGCAGGCGGGGGGCAGCTGCGGGCTGCCCAGGACGAGGGGCGGGGAGGGGGGGGATCACCCTTCCGTATTAGCCGGCCGATGGGTTGGTGGGATACTTTTCTGATTGCGAGTGACGCGGGAGAGGCCGCGCACCGTCAACAGTGTCGATCAGCGGAAAGAACGAACACAGGGCCAGGCACAGCACAACTGTCGCCGGCGACGCGCGGGAAAATTGACAACCGATACACGGCGGCAACGCGGAGGCGGGAGCGAACGAGGAGAACAGGGGAAGAAGGCGACAAAAAAAAACGAGGGACGAAGGAGAAAAGGAAGAGACGGCGGGCGAGCAGGTGATCAGGCTCAGGCGGCAAAGAAGTCTGAGGGGGGTCAGAAGTACTGAGGGTGTCAGGGAAACCACGGGTTGGTGGGATACGCGAAGCGTCACGAATTCCAGGTTCACTATGACACGCGTCGGCGAATAGAAAAGCAATCAGCGCAATGGGAAAGGATGGGTGGGAGGGGTAGCATGTCACATATGGCGCGAGCGCACTTAGTCTGCCACCCCGTCTCCCTCCGCCTCCGCCCCTGAATCCTTTTCCTTGTTCTCCTCAACCTTGTTGCCCTGAACATGGCCCTCCTCGTCCTTACCTCTGCTGTCCTCCTCCCCCTCAGCATCCCCCGCCCACCGCAGCAAGTCTACGTACCAGTAGGTCTGCCGGCGACACGCCCCCCACGCCCTGCGGGCGTGATCCGAACGCGCCCCCGAGAAAACGTCAGGGGCCTCACCAAGAAAACAAAGGGGAATGATGATGATGATGATGATGTTGACGACGACGACGACGATGATGATGATGATTATGGTGATGATGATGAGGATGATGACGATGATGATGAGGATGATGATGATGATGACGATGATGATGATGATGATGATGATGATGATGATGATGAGGATGACGACGACGACGATGATGATAATGATGCTGATGTTGATGCTGAACATGACGATGACGGCAACGATGATGGTGATGATCACGATCACGGTGATGCTGATGATGGTGATGGTGATGGTGATGATGAGGAGACGAGCGTAGGGGGGGCCGCGTGTCCTCCCACCTACGGCGGCGGGGGCAGGGACGGGGGCGATGGTGATGATGATGATGAGGAGGAGGAGGAGGAGGAGGAGGAGGAGGAGAGGGACGAGGGCGACGAGGCGGAGCAAAGCATGTGTGTATGTACCGTGCCGCGGGAGGCCCGGAGGTCCGACACCGGGAGCCGTGCGATAAAAGAGGAGGGCAGGCGCGGCCCCGAGCTCCGCGGGCCCAGGCCCGGGCCCGGCCTCAAGACGCCCTCCTGGAGCCGGAGTTTGTCTCTTCCTCGGTTAGGGAATCGAGCTCTATACACCTCCTCCTCCTCCTCCTCCTCCTCCTCTTCCTTCTCCTCCTCCTCCTCCTCCCCTCCCCTCCTTCTCCTCCTCCTCCTCCTCCTCCTCTCCTCCTCCTCCTCCTCCTCCTCCCGTTCCTTCTCCTCCTCCTCCTCCTCCTCCTCCTCTTCCTCCTCCTCCCTCTCCTCCTCCCCCTCCTCCTCCTCCTCCTGGTGTGTCGGACTTTCCCCAGTGGACGCCGCGTGGGCTTTTCCCGCTGGAGAACACCGACGCTTCTTCTGGCCCTGCATTGGAATCTGCACTGGGGAGCGGATCCTGGTGTATACGGGATCCTGGTGATTGCACTCTTCGCTGTTCCCTGGAGAACACGGGGAAAACAGCATACACCACACCACCCCGACGTCGTCCTCGACCCTCAGAAAAGTCCTGGGATTGAAAGACCGCCAGCCAGTGGTAATGTAGATGCTCCAGTTTCCGATCTTCCTCGATGAGCAGGGGAACGAATAATGACATAAACAGACAAACTCGGAGGTCCGAGCGGATTTCTCGGAGGCCCCTGAAACGTGGCCTGGGGGCGAAGAGCTCCCCTGACTCTCGGCGTCGACAGCGAATCTCCTGTGCACTGTGGCACCAGTCTTCGAATCAGGCGTTCACGTCTAGCTTGCGGCTGACAACACCGTCACAGTGGCGAAACCAAAGTGACGGACTCTGGAAACCCCGAACCCACAAACATCATCACCTCTTGGGGGCGCACGCTTTGCTTCCGCCACCTTCCGCCGCTCTTCGGCCGCCCCCCCGCCGGCGGAGGCGGCCTCGCCCTACTTCCGCCGACCTTCCGCCAGCCTTCCGCCGCGGAAGGGACGACAACTCCATCGATCCTCGAAGGCAATCCCCTTTCTGGAACGCCCCCCAAAGTCCTCCTCCTCCTCCTCCTCCTCCCCCTCCTCCTCCTCCTCCTCTTCCCCCTACTCCTCTTCCTCCTCCTCCTCCTCCTCCTCCTCCCCCTCCTCCTCGTCCTCCTCCTCCTCCCTCTCCTCCTCCTCGTCCTCCTCCTCCTCCTCCTCCTGGTGAGTCGGACTTTCCCCAGTGGACGCCGCGTGGTTTTCTCCCGCCGGAGAACAACGGCGGGCCCAGGCCCCGCGGGGGGCACGGCCTGCGCCTCGCGCGCGGGGACACCGCTGCCCCGCTCCCTCCGAGGCAGCCGCGCCGTGCGCTCGAGCGGAGGCGCGCACCGAAGTGCAGCTGGCCCGGCTCCGCAAGGGTGCGCGATGACCGGCGACTACAATGGGTGCGGTTTGCGAAGGGTGCGGTTTGTCTCGCGTCACATCTGCCCCTCCCGCCCCCGGGAAACGGATGACACTCTCACTCAATGCGACCGAATCACATGACACGGTCGCTCCTTCTAGCATAGTGGAGCAAGCATCGAGGATGACAGTGTCGTTCGAAGCGACGACGATTACGACATTGTCCCTCACAAAGGCCCCGGAAAGGCAACTCGCAAACCGCACCACGGCGTAAACGCACCGATTGTAGTCGCCGAGATGAGGATGCCGAGGGCCTTGGACGCCCACTCCTGAGCTCTTCGAGCGGGGCTCTCCTGAGCCTTTCGCCCCCCCCCCCCCCCGCAACTGTGCACGTGGCCTCGTCGTCGTCGTCCTCCGCATCTGGTCTGCCTGCGCGGGGCTACCCCTCGCCATCGCCTGGACGTCCATTCCCTGTGCATTGTTCGGTTTCGTGCGTGCATTTGTTCCGCAACGTGAACAAAAATGCTCCTCGATGGCCCTTGCCCGTAAAACAATGCACACGTCCGCGCCGCTTCGAGCATGTCGTGTCGTGGCCTAGCAGTGCAAAAAGGTGGCCGGGCGCGGCCAGCAGATGCTCCAGGGCTGGAACTGAACGTTGTTGTTCGTGTTGCTTTCGTTTTGTTGTTCGTTTTGCTCTATACGTCGTTCATTTCTAATCGCGTTCATTTCTAATTATGCTCGTTTCTAATTGTTCCTGGCCCCTAGTGGCCAGGAAGAGGCCCAGGATAGAACAATTAGAAATGAAAGGATCTTGGCCCCCCAAACCTCAAAGAACTTTCGAATAATTAGAAATTAATAAAGTGTACCTGTTCTCCTGTACCTCCCTGCCAAAACAAACAGCAACACACAGGCGGAGTCCAGCAAAACAGCGTTTGGGTCCAGCCCTGAGATGCTCGTTTCCCCTTTCGGTCTGGGTCAGGGACTGCGGACCGCAGGCCGGAGGGAGTTTCATTTGCGTGGCTCGTGGTTTGCGGCTTTCGCGAGGTATGCCTGGGGAGCTCACCGCTTGAGCACGCAGAACTCGCAGAAGCATGAAAGCACGTGTAATCGACAGTGTTTGCAAGCGTCGACCCCAAGCAGTGATGTATCTTATCCTGAATGTATTATATGCGGGGCGCACAGTACGTGATGCAAACATCATGTGGTGCACAGGTGTGAATGTTACGACGATGCTGAAGACGATAATGATGATGGTGGTGCTGATGGTGATGGTACTGGTGATGGTGATGGTGATGATGCTGGTGATAATGATGATGATGATGATGATGATGATGATGATGATGATGATGATGATGATGATGATGATGATGACGATGGTAATGCTAATGATGCTGGTGATGATGCTGATGATGGTGGTGATGATGGTGATGGTGATGGCAATGGTAATGGTGACAATGATGGTGATGGTGATGGTGATGGTGATGATGATGATGAGGAGGAGGAGGAGGAGGATGATGATGATGATGGTGGCGATGGTGATGGTGATGGTGATGGTGAAGATGATGATGATACTGATGATGATGATGATGAGGAGGAGGAGGAGGAGGTATTCGGCGTGTACGTATGCGTGGCGAGAAACGAGAGAAAGAAGAGGAGGATGCCGTATAGATTCGGCGTTTTCTTTTCTCTCTCTCTCTCTCTCTCCTGCGCAGGGGCGTCCAGCGAGAACAAACATATTATGACTTCGGACATGCGGAAAGCATGCTCCGCGCGGAAGCTCGGAAACCCTGCGTCTGCGCGGGAGTGTGGCGCCCTATGCTCGCACAGTGCCCGGGGAGAGTGGCGACGCGGCGCTCATATGGAGCCAGTGCGAAGAGGTAGGAGGAGGAGGAGGAGGAGGAGGAGGAGGAGGAGGAGGAGGAGGAGGTAGGAGGAGGAGGAGGGGAGGAGGAGGAGGAATAGGAAGAGGAAGAGGAGGAGGAGGAGGGGGAGGAGGAGGAGGAGGAGGAGCAGGAGGGGGATGATGAGGAGGATGAGGATGAGGATGAGGATGAGGAGGAGGAGGAGGAGGAGAAAGAGGAGAGAAAAAAAGAGGGAGGACGAGGAGGAGGAGGAGGACGAGGAGGAGAGGGAAGAGGAGGGGAGAAGGACAGAGGAGGAGGAAGAGGAGGGAGGAGGAGAGGCGAATGGGGAAGGAGGAAGGGCGGAGGAAGGATCCCAGGAGCCTTCATGGCCTTCCTCCGCCCCTCGCCCCCTCGTGCCGCCCCCTCCCGTCGCTTCTCCCTCGGCTTGCCGACCCTGAGCGCTCAGAAAACCACCGCTGCCCCGCGGTGCCTCCCAGGGCACCAGCGGCCTCGAACCCGTGGGGCGAGACGGCCGCCAGCGCTCGGGCGCTGAAGGCGGAAAGGGGGCGGGGGGGCTCCGGTGACCAGGCCGACGGCGCCCTGCCCGAAGATCGCAGACAGCTCGCGCCGCTTCTGGCCAGACAGCGCCTTTAGCGGGGTGGTGAAGTAGGCGCGCCTGCCCCGCAGCAGCGACCTCCACGCGAAACGGGGGGTGGAAAGAAGAAGGGGAGGCCAAAGGCGAGAGGGGTGAGGTGGAGCAGGATGGGGAGACGAGGATGGAGGCAACAGGAAGGGGAAGAGGGCCAGGAACTGGAGAGGGAAAGTATGACGGTCTCATCATTCATCCTCTTCCTCCTCCTCTTCTCCCTCTCCTCCTCCTCCTCCTCCTCCTCCTCCCCCTCCCCCTCCTCCTCCTCCTCCTCGTCCTCCTCCCTGTCCTCTTCCTCCTCCTCCTCCACATTCGTCCGTAAAAATGTACCCAGTTCAGGCATGGGGGGGGGTAGTTTTAAACATGTGGTTCCCGCCTCAGGGCCACGCGCATTCGTCGTAACAGTTTGAATCAGCTTCAGGGCCCGAGCACCATGAGCATTCGCCTCAACATCCTGCAACATATTCACGGATTGAGCACTGGTCGTCTGAAAAAAAAACGGAGTCCCGCCTCAGTGCCGCGCAATTCGTATTGCAACGCACCGTTAACACGGAGGAGGACGAGGAGGAGGACAGGAAGAGGAGGAAGCGGACGAGGAGGAGGAGGAGGAGGAGGAGGAGGGGAAGGGGGAGGAGGAGGAGGAGGACGAGGAGGAGGAGGAGGAGGAGGAAAGGGAGGAGTGTGAAGCGGAGGGGGAGGAAGAGAGGAAGAGAGGAGGACGAGGAGGAGAGGAGGAGGAGGAGGAGGGGGGAAGGAGGAAGGAGGAAAGGAGGGCGGAGGGAGGGGAGGAGGAGAGGAGGAGGAGGAGGAGGAGGAGGAGGAGGAAGGAGGAGGGAGGAAAAGGAGGCGGAATAGGAGAAGAAGGAGGAGGAGGGGGAGGAGGAGGGGGAGGAGGAGGAGGAGGAGGAGGAGGAGGAGGAGGAGGAGGAGGGGGAAGAGGAGGAGCCCCCTACTTTTTTGACACGACGAGTGAGCCCATAGCCACTGGGAAGCGGTGCGGTACAATGAGCGGCGAGCTGTCGCAGGACCACCGAACGGTCCTCTACTATGGTCCACCACGCAGGCCTGGGGCGCGCGCCTCTGCGCGTCGAAACACGAGAGGCTGGCAGTAGCAGGCAGCGAAAGACACTCTGAGTGTGCCGTCAGGACGAGGAGGAGGAGGAGAAAGAGGAGGAGGAGGAGGAGGAGGAGGAGAAGGAGGAGGAGGAGGAGGAGGAGGCGGGGGTGAGGAGGAGGAGAAGGAGGAGGTTCAGGAGGAGGACGAGGAGGATGATCGATCGATCAATCGAGCTCTCGGGCCTGTTCCATGCTACTCTCGCTTCTAGGACATTTAAACTTTCAGGTCGGGAGTCTCACATGAAAGAGGAGGGGCTGGGAGTCGGCCTTCCATAACGAGCGCCCGAAGCCTCTCGCTCATTCTGAATACCTGCGGCATGGCGCAGGTGGCACCAGCCTGCGAAACATGGAAAGGCGCACCGCTTGCTCTCCCTCACTACGACGATGTATCGTCTCTCTCTGGGTCGGCCCACGTGTCTCTGTTATCCCTCCTGCTAGCGTCTCACGAGCCCCTCCGGCCACGCGTGAGTGTTGCATCGCAGGATGGCGCAGCTGCGCTGCGCCGCGTATATCACTGCCCTCTGGTGCTGCTGGCGTCGCACGAGCCCCTACGGCCAAGCCAAGCGCGAGTGTTGCGTTGTAGTTGCGCCTTCCATTTCACTTACTGGCCGTTGCTCAGGGGGCCCAGCTCCCGCCCCAAAGTCCCCCATCGGTGCCGACCCCAGCTTGCGAACTGCCCCTTCCTTGCACAGCTGCTTCGCGAGCATCGTCTCCAGCTGGCGATGCGACGTCTTGACCTGGAACAAGAATCGGCCCCTCTCCTGAGCGCCTCCTTCCTCTCAAGAACCGGGCCCTGAAAGGCGGGATGGTGTCCGTGACCTGCCCCGCGTTGCCATTCAAGGCTGTCCTGGCAGTGCCTCTCGACGCGGCCCCCCTCCGCTCCTTGCTGCAACGCGCGCCCCGCGTAGCTCACCAGGTCGGTCCAACCTCGGATATGTGGGCAGCCGAGCGGTGCCGCGTCCACTCGCTCTCCCTGGTCTGCGCGTCGTCGTAAGTCTCGAACTGCTTCGTTGCGCCCTCGTCCAGAGTCCAGCGCTGCTTTGGCGATCCCGCTGTTGGCGTCGATCTCCCACGCCTGCGCGACCGCCGCCGCTATCTCCGCCTGCTCCCTGGCCAACGTGAGGACGGGCCGCGCCGCGAGGTCTACCACCTGCGCGTTGGGCGCTGCTTCTCCGGCCGCCCCTGCCGCTGCGCCTCCAGGCGGGCGTCGCGGCTGCCGGCTTTGGTCTGGACGCGGAGGCCCGCTGGCACTGGCACCCGCTGCGGGCGCTGATGGAAGAGCGCCGTCTTCTCCGGGAGGCAACAGGATTGGCGCGCTGTGATATCTCGGCCTGTCTGCATTACAGCTCCCTGAGAGCGTGACGCTTGCGAGACTTTCCCAAGCTGCCCCCCGACTCGCGAACGCCCGGTGGGAATTGGTGCACCCGTTGTTTGTAGTAAGTAGCACCGCTAGGTTATGCGCGCGATGATCTCTGATGACGCGGCTGCGCAGCGCTTCCTTGCTCGCGAAGAGTAGTCCGCGCTCCGCTTGTCCGCCCCTGAGCTCGCATTTGCAAGGTTGCAGGTCCCTCGGGCGAATTCTTCGCAGAGTTCGCCGCTTTGCGCCTGTCCAGGAGGGGGGTCGCTAAGGTTGGTTTGGCTGCTCGAACCTCTCTGACATCTAGTTGGCGAAGGTCTTCGCAAGTAACGAGCGCGAGCATTTTTCTGATCGTGACCTCCACCCCGAATCTGGAACTGAGGCTCTCCGAAACATGGCGGGCTTTCTCTGCGCCCTCCACGATTCCGCGGGCCCGCGGTTTCACACTCGTCGCCAGCTCCTTCGCGTCGTTCTCCTCGTCGTCGTCATCGCGCTCGAATCTGACGCGCCCGAACAAGGCGACGATGAGCTGCCCGCGGACGCTCGGGAATCTCAGAATGTTTCCGGCCCAACCAAGTCTTCGGACGAGCGCCTCATCCACTGGGGGCAGTATTTGCGAGAGGCGGCAGACCTCCGGCGTCGACAATCTGCGGGCTGTGCCGACCGTGCGGCGCGCGCCCGCCTTGCCCGTCATGGCCGCCCCCAGTAGCGCTTCCATCGCGTTCTGCAGTAGCAGGCACTCGTTCGGCGTCGGCAAGAAGCACTGGATGCCGGAGAGGCCTGCGCTGATCACCCTGCAGATGAATACGACCCGCTTCCATCTGTATGGGACGTCCTTCTTCGCCCAGAAGCCGCCGCGCCCGTTGTAGCTATTCGTCAGGGCCAGGATGCGTTTCTGGAGTTCATGGTAGTGGCACTGCGCGGCCGCAGCATGCGGGCCCGAGTGCGGCGCTGCCTCCACGACTTTGCCTGGCATCTTGCACTCTGGGTAAATTCATGCTGTCCTTGTGGGCCTGGCTGGCCCCCTGCCCCAGGATGCGCATGATGGCCTCCTGTTTGTCCTGCCCCCGCTTGAGGCCTATCTCGTAGAGGCGCGCGCTCAGCGCCTCGCCCGCCCCCCGCGCCTGCTCGACCAGCCGGCGTGCATCTGCGTAGCTCTGACCGAAGGTCAGCTTCCTCAGATCGTTCGCGCACGTCGTCGGGCCCGTGCATACTGGGTGCTGGAAGGGCGCGCTGGCGCAGTGGAGCCCCGCGTCGTTCGCCACCTCCCCTCGGCACCCCTGCAGGGGATGTTGAACGTGGCTCGTCGGCATCGTTGCTCGCCCATGTCCCGCGGGTCGTCTGGCATGATCTCACTGTTGGCCGCGCCCATCGCAATCCACGAGCAGCTCGCGAACTCGTTGGACATGTCCTCCGTCGTCGAGGCATAGTTGTAGCCCGCACGTCTAGCTCTGCATTCCACCGCCGCCATGGTAAGCATTGTGCGTCTGCCCTTGATGAGGCTGTAGTCCAAGCCGCTGCGTGCAATATTCTGCTGGCGTCGTAGTCCTGCCGCGTAGTATGCCTTGCCAACATTATCCATGATGTGGTGGATGCGCTTGCCTGCGGGGCCCATCTGCATGCCCTTCTTTACTGTTGTTGCTCCGCTTTGATGCCATCGTACTGGCGTCGCGTTGCCATGTCGTATCGCTGCCAGCGCCGCCTTAATTAGCGTTTAAAGCTGTTCCGTTTCTCGTAGTTCTCTGCGTAGTCCAAACCCGCGGCGCTGCTTTGAGTGGTGGTCAACGCGTGGACACAGCAGTAGCCGCCGTATCTCAGATGGCGCGGCCGTGGGTGGTGCTGCTCGTCGTAGCCTGGCTCGTTTGAGGAAGCGCCTGAGCTCGTCGTAGTCTCCCTCGACCTTATCCTCCGAGTCTTCCTTGTAGTAGTCCTGTCTGTCCGCGTTGTGAGGTCTGGTCTCCACGTCGTTCGTGTCCTGCCCCGGTCCTTCCATGCCTCCTGAGGATCCTGGTAACTGCCAGCTATCGATCCACTCCTGCTTTGTTGGGTTCGCGGTCGTGGCCGTCCAGAAGTCGCGCTTCCTGGGTCCGTAACGTCCACCAGCGATTAGCCGTGATAGTCCCACTCTAGCTAGGTCCCGCTGCTCCCACGCCTCGTGCATCTCTTCGACCTTGGCGTCGGTGCACTCCTGGCGCTCTGAATTGCGCATCTCTCTGCAAGTCGTCGCGATTGTTCTCAGGTGGTTCCCGATTGTTCGCATCCGTGTATCTGTCACAGTGAGCTGCTCTGGTATCTCGTCGGCGCATGGGTTGCTGTCTAGCGTTCTCTGCCCCTGGGGACCGGCCCCTTGGGGCCCCCCCTCCCCGAGGCGCTCCACGCATAGCGGGGGTTGCGTCGGGATGGGCTTGTGATGGCGGTTCGACTCCAGAGTAATGTCTGCATGTAGGTCGTGGAGTGCGGCTTTGGCCTCTCGACGGTTTCGAAGTAGCTGCATAATGTCTCTGCGACATTGATCGTGCTAGTCCGTCGCCTTACGCTGTGGTCCGTAGTGTTTCTGCGCCTCAGTGATCAGGATCTCGCTGATGTCGCTGAATAGATGGTCCGCGCCGTTGCCCGGGGGGTCGTACTGTGTGATTGTCTCCTTCACGTCTGTGATGAAAACTGGGCGGCGTAGTCCGTGCCGCGCTGCCTGGACCAGGCTATCCTTGTTCCATTTTGGCGGCTGGCGTCGGTGATGTACTCGTTGCCGTAGCGGGGGTCGGACTGTCACTTGTACTGGTCCGTGGTCGCGTCGTGATGTACACCATATATGTTGCACTCGTGCGCTCATGCGTACGAGTGGTCCCTGCTAGACAAGCGCCTCTGCCAAGCTCTGCAGTGCCATGACGTAGCCGATGGAACTCGCACTCGTCTCGCCGAAATACGTTGGGCGCCCGGAGATCATGGTGTCTACGATAAAGAATCCACGTCGTTCTGCGTATTGGCGGGCCTTCTGGCCTGCTCCTCCCGCAAGTCGTTCTGGCGCCCTGCCTGGACCCACTGCCAGCGTGTCTGCTCTAGTTCCTGTATGTGTGATCCCCACGCCGTCGTTCAGGTCACCCGCCGTGATAATAATGGCGTTGCGCGGCCTGTTGTTGGTCACTGTTTCCGTCCATGCGAAAAGCCAATCCGTGGTGGGTACGTAGTCATTGCGCGCGTTCTTGCCCTTGGTGGGCTGTGGCGGGCTCTCGTGCCCTATGATGATCAGCGTCTGGTCGTTGTGCTGCGGCGTTCTTGGCCAGCCCTCGCCCGCTAAGTTCTACGGGTGGCTCCACCAAGTCAATGACTGTCGCGTTCCTGAGCCTGCCCTGCAGCGCGATGATGATCCCCATGCTCTTGTTGGTGATGTATCCTGCGTTGCCAGCCAACTTCGTAATACAGTGTGTTATCGCAGCGGTTTGGGGTGATGATGGGCTCTCTTCTTCTGCGTTCTGATCCCGTCAGTACCATTGCGTTGGAGTTGGACGCTTCTTCGTAGATCCCCGCCAGTCTGTCAGGCTTCGCCGAAATTTGGCTGAAGAGGAACCGTGCGGGAGAAACGGTCCATGCCGCCATCATGCGGGCCGCCGCCCCTTCTATCCGCACGAACGGTGGAATGACATGGTGGCGGCCTGGGCTGCCCTGAATCTCTCCGGCCCAGATGGCAGCTGGGGGAACAGGAGGAGGAAGAAGAGGAGGAAGCGGAGGAGGAGATGGAGGACTGCTCTCTGGAAAATTCTCACCCTCCAGAACCGAAGCTTCAACGCGCCCGGCGCTGCAGGGATCCAGGGCGGCCCCTCTTACGGTACGGAGCCGTCGCCTGAACACCCCTCGGGGCTCATGGGCACAAGGGCAGGCCTGCACAACAGCTGCAAGGATTGGGGAAGGGGGTTTCCTCTATAATGAAATACCACGGAGCAGGTGGGCAAGCTTTAGATAAGGATGCCTGCGGTACAGAGCCCAGTGTCTCGTGACCGATGGGCGGTCAAACGTCGGCAACCCACCTCGTCTTGAAACAAAAAAGAATGCGCCAGGGTCTGGGCCCAAAGACATGGTTACTTATCCAATGCCGCCGCCGTGCTGGACACCCCGTCGAGCTGCATGGTGCTTGTTGCTCGTGCCCCGGGTCACGCTGCAGAAAAATGAAAGGCAATCCGTGTTAAAGCGGGGCCCTGGCCAAAATGACAGGCCCAGGAGTGCTGATCTGTCAAAAGAGGTACTTCTTGCAATGGGGGTGTTGCAGCATCGCTGCTGAATAGTTGGCTCACTCTGGTTCCCCGGCAGAACTGCACAATCTAAGTACTACTCTCCTCTCTCCCCCGAAGATGTGCTGAGAGTGTCCCCTCCCCAGGGCGCCTTGCATTTCAAGATTGGTCCGAACAGTTCTCCGTCCGTGGGGTAGTTCCGAGATGGCGTTCCCGCCGAACTGTGGGCCTCATTTCAGGATCGGCACTCTGCTCCCGTCGTTCACAGTCTGGCGCTCCCGCCTCAGCGCGGGACACTTTTCCCGATCCGAATCCTTCCCCATCGTTTGCGCACCTTGCCCTGGTCATCCTTTAGCCCCCGCTCCTTCCAGTCCTGCTCCTGCTGCTGTTGTGCGTCCTCGTCCTCATCCTTCCTCATCCTCCGTTTCCTTCTAATAATCTTCCCGCTAATCCGCAACCTCCGTTTCCTAACGTGCGCAGCTCCCGTTTTACGATTGCGCACAACACGATGGGCTCCTTCTTGGAGCTCCACGTCCGCTATGACACGCGACAGCGGATACAGACCACCATACAAATGCATAAACAATCAATGGGAAGGGTTGGGAGGGAGGGGTAGGGTGTCAGATATGGCGCGAGCGCACCTAGCTACCTCTCTCCTCCTCTCCTTCTCCTCCTTCTCCTCGTCCTCCTTCTTTTCCTCCTCCTCATCCTCCTTCTGCTCCTATTCCTCTTCCTCCTGCTCCTCCTTTTCCTCCTCCTCCTCCTCCCTCGTCCCACTCCCCTCCTTCTCATCACAATCTCCCGCTGCCAGTCCTCATCATCCTCCTGCCTGTATCCCCTGTGCCCCTCCTCCTCCTCCTCCTGCCAACGGCCTCCTGTCTTCTACACAAGACTCCTCCCCCAGTCCCTTCCTCCTCTACCTCTCTCTCCCCCCCCCCCCGCTTCCTCCCACCATTTCCCCCTCCTGCTCCAGCCCCCGCTTCTCCCTCCCCTCCGTCCCTCACTACAGTCGGGGCGTTGACCTAAGGAACCCTAAATAAGGAACGAGGCCCCTTTTCTCCATAAGTTAAACTCCGATTTCCGATCGACAACATAAGGGAAACCTGGGGCAAGCTGTGAAACACTTACGGGACGCGGAGCCCCTCCCCGACCAAAAGGGTTCCTTCTTCAGGGCCCCGGCTGTATGGCGAGGCACCGCCAAACTGCGAAGAGGCCCACGGCGGTCTTGCCCGAGCCGGTGGGCATGCAGCACAGCACGTCCTCGCGGACGCGCGGGGCGGTGCGGGGCGCAGTCCTGCTCTCCTGCCCTCTGCTCGGGCGCGCTCCGCCCTCTGCGCTCTGCACTCTGCTGAAGGGGCCCTGGGACACACAAATAGTAAATACACACAAATAAAAGGATCCCCCATATTTTCCTATAGTTTCTGGGTTCTTGTCTTCCCCCCCACTTCCCATATGTTCCCGTATTTTCTAGAGAATCGACGATTTTAAGTGTGCCTGTGCTTTTTTCCCCCTCCTGATCTGCAGTCTGCTCCAGGCTCCCTGGGCAAGCTCTACATCCCTTGCCCCACGCTCTCTGCTCTCTGCTCTCGGATCTGAAGAAGAGGAGGAAGGACATAATAGAATAATGGAGGGCGACCGCAGCATCTGTCGAGTACCCCGCGCACGCCGTGGGGAAGGGGCGGCAGATGCTGGCCGGTGGCTTTACTTACTGCAACATCCAAGAAGCATAATAGCACCGGCGAAAAAAAGGAGAGAAGCCAAGGAAGACGAGGAGGGGTACTCCAGATTTCGTAATAAAAAGGAGTGGGTCTCATTTCGGGAGGGGTCTCCTCCAGGCCATTTTGGAGGGCCTGGGGGGGTCTGGGGACGATGTTTTGGAGGGTTCTCCCACGGGGGAGGTCTGAAATGGCTTGTCTTGGAGGGTCCAGACCCCCTCCCTTTTATTACGAAATCTGGAGTAGCGTGGTTGCCAAAAACAGGTGACACGCTCATCACCTGCTTCAAACCCTGACCCATGCCGAAGAGTGCAAAGCACCGTCCACAAGCAGGGAAAGGGAGGAGAGGCGAAAGAAGAGGAGGGGGACTGAAGAAAACAGCAAGGACCGCGAAGCGGAAGTCAGGAAACGCCATAGGCGAGCAAGTGCCAGCAACTGCAAACTACAGAATACTGCGCACCGTGCGCTTGTAGTTAGTGGCACGATTCACCCACCGTGAACGTCAGCGAACGGAGCCACACACTACAGAGTGGAAGTCTCCAAATCTGGATCCCCGTCGAAGCGGAGAGATAAAGGATACCGGAGAAAAAACCCAATAATAATCTGTTTAGGGCTGTAGGGCTATCGGGCTATATGGGCTATAGGGCTATTGGGCTATAAAGTAATAGAACTACAGGGCTATAGGGCTATAGGGGTATAGGGCTATAGAGCTATAGGGCTATACGGCTATAGGGCTATTGAGCTATAGGGCTGTAGGCCTATAGAGCTATAGAGCTGTAGGGCTATATGGCTATAGGGCTACACCCCCGGGCACCCGGGCACCCCCGGGCACCCGGGCACCCCCGGGCACGCCTGGGCACGCCCGGGCCCCCGGGCACCTGGGCACCCCCGAGCACCCAGGCACCCGGCCGCCGGCCACCAAATCGGCGCCGCACGTCACCTAACCATATGAATCCGCTAGGACCCCTACAGAGGCAAGCTCTGATTGGGGGATCATTGGAAGTCTCCAAATCTGGACCCGAAGCGGAGAGATAAATCATCGGCACAACATGCTCTATGCTCTCTGCTGTCTTCAATCGCGCTGCAATTCCTAAGCTCTCCCCAAACTCTCCACTCTCACTCATCTCTCGGCTGTCTCTTCTCTCTCTCCATCTCTCTCTCTCTATTTCTCTCTCTCTCTCTCTCCTGTTTATATCCTCTCCTATGCCTCCCCGCTCCCTCTCCCCCCCCTCTCTCTCTCTCTCCACCGTCCTCTCAGCACACATCCCGCAGCCAAACAACAGGCGCTCCGCCTCTGTATCTGTATCTGGCTCTCGCTTTCTCTCTCTCTCTCACTGTCTCCCCAGACCCCCGACGTAATGATTTTTTCATTACGTCGACCCCCAGAGGTCCCGACCCTTTCCCCATGACCGGCTTTGCATCCTGAGTCGTTTTTTGACGCTCCCGAGGCCCGGTGAGGGCCCCGGAGGCCGAAAATTAGGAAAAAACCTCCCGTCATGATTTTTCATTATTCTCTCTCTCTCTCTCTCCCCCCCCCCGAATGTCCACATTCTGCCGGCTCCCTTGGCAGCCTGGGACCCCAGGAAGCCCCGCCGCCTCCACCGCACACGGCGGGCCGGCGGCGCCCTGCAGGGCCCCCCCAGCGATCGGGAGCACCCGGGGGGCCCGGGGGGGGCGGCCGCCTGCCGAGGCCAACGGTGCGCATCGGAGACCGGAGAGCCTGCTGGGATGACCGTGGGGGGTCCTAAGTGGATAGGGGGGTCCTCCTCGTCCTCGTCCTCGTCCTCGTCCTCCTCCTCCTCCTCCTCCTCCTCCTCCTCCTCCTCCTCCTCAAGATCCGCTGGCCGCCAGGGGGGCGCCAGGCTGTAAAAACATGCTGCTGGCCTGCTGCCCTGCCTTCTCTGTGTTGCCGCTTGCCTCGTGGCTCTCGCTGGCGGCGCGCAGAGGGGGGCCCACTGGGATGACCGTGGGGGTCCCTAAGTGGACAGGGGGGGTACAAGTGGATGCCAAGGTGGGTTATATCTGGCCCAACCTGGCTTAGGAGTGGGCTACAAGTGCCCTGAGTAGCTTAGGGGGGTTAACGATCTGGGCCAGGTGGGCTCCGCCCACTTGGCCGAGTTATCGCCCCCCCCCTAAGCTTCTTAGGGCACTTGTAACCCACTATAAGCCAGGTTGGGCCAGATATAACCCACCTTGGCATCCACTTGTAACCCCCCTATCCACTTAGGAACCCCCACGGTCATCCCAGCGGGCCCCCCTCTGCGCGCCGCCAGCGAGAGCCACGAGGCAAGCGGCAACACAGAGAAGGCAGGGCAGCAGGCCAGCAGCATGTTTTTACAGCCTGGCGCCCCCCTGGCGGCCAGCGGATCTTGAGGAGGAGGAGGAGGAGGAGGAGGAGGAGGAGGAGGACGAGGACGAGGACGAGGACGAGGAGGACCCCCCTATCCACTTAGGACCCCCCACGGTCATCCACTGCAGGCAGGACCGGGCAGCGAGCTCTGTGCATGACGACCCACCAGACCACCCCAACCCAACCCGAAGGCCCCAAGTTCGGGCTTGCCTACCAGACCACCCCAACCCAACCCGAAGGCCCCAAGTTCGGTTTTTTTTTGGGGGGGGGTACGGGTTCCATGTGTGCTTTTGTCGATGTTCCCCGACCCCCCCAAAAAACTGGAAGTGGAGGGCACACTGAGGCCTTCGGGTTGGGTTGGGGTGGTCTGGGGGGCGGTGGATGCACGTGCGCTTTTCCCGACCCTGCGCTGGAACTCGCACAAGCAGGCGGATCCTGGTGCAGACGGGACCCTGGTGTATACCGCACCGCTTCGACGTCGTCCCCGCACCTCGAAAAATTCGGGGCTTGAAAAACCGCCCGCCACTGGTAATGCACATGTTCCAGTTTCCGACCGAGGTCAAACTGCACTTGGAGACCGAGAGCCCAGGACCCTAGGAACCCAGCCAGTCAATGACATCTACAGCCGTCGACTCCAAAATCCTTCCGGCCTCTGCGAGGAGATCTTCAGTACAATCAGGGATCGGAAAAGTGCGTGTCTTCAGGTTGCCCACAAGGCAATGGCGGTATAACGCGCGTTGCTCCAAACCTCCAGCTGTCCCCCCCCCGGCCAAACGTCCCTTCTTCTGCCCCCACTCCTCGCCGGGCAGCACAGCCTGCCACAAGCCCGCGGCGCGGCGCTTGGAAGTAGGAGCTCGCAAGCAGGCGCAGATCGCTTGGCAGTCCACCTGACCTCGCGCTTAGCGGTACGCAAGGCGCAATCATCTTCGCACCCCAGTGGTTGACCAGGGTTTGTGCGCGCACGTCACTGGTGAGACCATGCGAAGGGCCGAGTCTACTTCTCGCACCTCCTCCTCCGGGTCTTCCGTATCCACATCCTTTTCCTGCTTCGAGCCTCGGGCCTGCTGTTTCCACCCCTCTCCTCCGCCGCCGCCTCCGCCCCCTTCCCACGTCCCCATGTTCACGTTGGCCGACAGTGGGTCCCACATTTAGCAGCAAAGCTGATTACGCCCGAGAGCACAATGATGAATGAGCTGGACATGAAACGCGTGCTGTGAAGAACATCTGCGGAGAGGCGGCTAAATGGAGAGAAGATGAAGCACCAGAAATTGGGAAAGCGGGGTAGCCCATGCTGGCGTTCTCCATAGCCGGCTTCTGCACAACACTGCGGGGGAAACCCAATGGCTACAGAGGCACGTGCAGGTAAATCATGGGATGCGCCTCCACATCCTCCACGAGCCCTTCACCAATCCAGCCCGCTCCAACATCGCAAGGGTAAAGTAATGGCTCCGCCTGTAGCCCTGCGCCCTGCAAGCTGGATATCTACAGGTGCTCTCCGCTTGACTCAAAAGGTGGCGGGTGCAGACAAGAACGGGTGGTACGAAGCATGTACGGATATGTGATTGAAGTGCATCGAAGTGGAAGTATGCAAGACGGGGCAACCTCGCCCTCTGCGGGAGCGCTAGAGACCCTGGACTTGGACTTGTACCGACCCACATCACCCTTTCGAGCCTTTCGAGCGCGGCTCTGTGCCTCCGCGCGGATGCGCAGCCGTAGCGGTCTTTGCCGCAGCGGCGGCGCACGGCGGGCCCGCTGCGGCCGCGCACAGCCCCCTCCCCCTCCTCCTCCTCCTCCTCCTCCTCCTCCTCCTCCTCCTCCTCCCTCCTCCTCCTCCTTCCCTCCTTAGTCCTCCTCCTCCTCCTCCTCCCCCCTCCTCCTCCTACCTCCTCCTCCTGGTCATCATCCTCCTCCTCCTCCTCCTCCTCCTCCTCCTCCTGGTCCTCCTCCTCCTCCTCCTCCTCCTCCTCCTTCTTTTCCTTCTGTGTCTCCCCAGCCCCCTTTCGACCTCCGACGACTTGATTGCTCCGAATCGCCAGCCCCCTGGAGCTCTGGACCTCTTCCCCAGGACCAGCTCCCGCTCTCCACCTCACCACCCTCTACGACCACCCACTCGCCATCCCCCCCCCGCTTCCCCTCCCTCCTACCCCTCGTCTCCCCCCCCCCAGCCGACCCCGCCCCCTGCATCCTTCCTCGCCTCGCCGCCCCCTCCCCGCACCCCACGCCTCCCCCCCCTACTCCCCTCGCCCCCCCCCCCCCCCGCCTCCCCCCTTCGCCTCCCTCGCCCCTCCCTCCCCCAGCCCCTCCGCACCCTCCCCCCTGCCTGCTCCCCCCGAGGCTGGTCCGCCATCGTCGCCCCCCCCCCCCCCCCACCCCCGGAGATGGCTCGCAGGGGGCGCGGGCGCAGCTCCTCGCCCTCGGCGAGCCGCCTCGCGGCCTCCCGCTGGGGCTCGTCGAGGGGGTAGGGGAACAGCTCGGAAAGCGCCGCCACCTCCCCCCCGGGGCAGAGGCCCGGGGGGGGAGGGGGAGGAGGGGAGGAGGAAGGAGGAGGAGGAGGAGGAGGAGGAGGAGGAGGAGGAGGAGGAGGAGGAGGAGGAGGAGGGGAGGAGGAGGAGGAAGAGGAACCCGTTTGAGTCGGCTCCGCAGACAGGCGAAACGACACTCGTCGGGCGAGGCCCTGGGCCCACGGCCGGGCGCCAGGCTCCTGGGCTGAGCAGCCTTTGGCCAGGGCAATGATTCGATGGGCTCTGGTTGGGCCCTTTCGGACCCGCGCGCGCGCCGCCAACTCATCTCGCTTCAGTAGCCCGACCAGCATCCCCCAGATATCCAACGCATCGAACACATCGGGGCGGCAGTGTTGCGCAAATTTTGGTCCCTATGGAGGCCCTCGCCGGGCCCCGGGGCCGTCAAAGAACGACTCGGGATGGAAGGCCGGCGCTGGGAAATGGGTCGTCCGCGTTGAACAAATTACTCCGACGGAAGGACCCCGCACGAGAATATGTTTAGCTTGCCCTCACCCTTCTCCTCCTCGCCCTGACGGACACTTTCCTCTCGCCCGCCGTTCTGCCCTCACCTACTCCCCCTCCTTCTATTTCTCCTCCTCCTCCTCCTCCTCCTCCTCCTCCTTCTCCACTTCCTCCTCATCATCATCATCCCCTCCCTACCCCTTGCCCGTCCTCGTCCTTTCAGTGTTTCTTCTCCGCGCGTTCCTCCCCTTCCCCCTGGTCGGGGCAAGCAAATCGATTTTCCTCGGCGCCGTCGCCGCCACGGCCAGAGCGCGCGCATTCCCCGACGGCTGGTTCGCGAAGCCTTTGGGACAACCCTGCGGGCCGCTGGGGCGCGGGGGCAGGCGGTCGGGACAGCCCCGCGGGCCAAGCCGTTGGGACAACCCCGCGGGCTTCGAGCGGGGCGCAACCGCGCTCAGGCGGAAGGCAGCATGAACCCAAACTCTGCGGCGAGCTGCTCGGCCTCATCCCTGGACGTCTCCGATTCGGCCGACGATGGGTTACCACCGCAAGCCCCGAGACAAGGGGTTACCCCTGCCCCCGATTCGGCCGAGGATGGGTTACTACCCCCGGCCCGGACGCAAAGGGTTTTTTCCCCGTGTGCCCGATTCGGCGGACGATGGGTTACCGCAGCCAGCCCGGAGACAAGGGGTTACCCCTGCCCCCGATTCGGCCGACGATGGGTTACCACCGCCAGCCCGGAGACAAGGGGTTACCCCTGCCCCCGATTCGGCGTACGATGGGTTACCCCAGCCCGGAGACAAGGGGTTACCCCTGCCCCCGATTCGGCCGAGGATGGGTTACCACCCCCAGCCCGGACGCAAGAGGTTGCCCCTGCGGCCGATTCGGCCGCCGATGGGTTACCACCGGCGGCCCGGAGACAAGGGGGTCCCGCCTGAGACTTCCTCACAATTCACTCACAGACGAGGCTCCCGCTCGATACTTCCTCCAAATTCAAGCCTGGGGAGCCCAAAAGTGACGACAGTTACAGGTTGCCGATGACCCGCTCGGATTACCAACATGAAGCGCTGGACCCATAGGGAGGGGGCTCCCGCCTGAGACTTCCTCACAATTCGCTCACAGACGAGGCTCCGGCTTGATACTTCGAGCCCAAAAATGGCGACAATTACAAGTTGCCGATGACCCGCTCGGAGTACGAACGTGAAACGCGGGACCCATAGGGAAGGGGGCTCCCGCCTGAGACCTCCTCACAATTCACTCACAGGCGAGGCTCTCGTTTGACACTTCCTCACAATTCAAGCCTGAGGAGCCCCAAAAACAGGTACAGGTTGCCGATGACCCGTTCGGATTACCAATATGAAATGCGAGACCCATAGGGAGGGAGCACCCGCCTGAGACTTCCTCACAATTCACTCACAAACGAAGCTCCCGCTTGATATTTCGTCCAAATTCAAGCCCGAAGGGCGCAAAAGTGACGACGGTTGCAGGTTTCCGATGACCCGCTCGGATTACCAACGTGAAGTGCGGGACCCATAGAGAGGGGCCTCCCGCCTGAGACTTCCTCACAATTCACTCACAAACGAAAGAGTGATGACGAAGTAATGAATGAGTGATGCTGGTGAGTGAGTGAGTGAGTGATGATGAAAATGATGAGTGAGTCATTGAGTGGGTGATCGAGTGATGCTGATGGTGATGATGATGCTGCGTGATGATGATGAGTGATCGTGCGACGCTGATGGTGACCGGTGGCGATGCTGATGATGACGAAGTGATGAGTGAGCGTGTAGTGATGATGAAAATGGTGATCGTGTGATGACGATGATGATGATGATGATGATGAGTGATCGTGCGATGCTGATGGTGATGCTGATGGAGATGATGATGATGGGTGGGGCGTGATGGTGGTGGTGATGGTGATGATGATGGTGATGACGAGGAGGAAGCAAGGATGAGGAGAGGAGAGGGAGGAGGAGGAGAGATCCTGCGCGGAGGGTATGCAGAGAAAACAAGAACCCCACTTAGGATGTGGGGAATAATGTCATCGGATCTCTGGGGAGGAAAAGGACGCGCGTATATAATAAAAAATGCCAAACAGATTAACTGTTCGCGCGCCGCGCGGATCTCTTGGATCTGCGCTGGACCCCATCCCTGGCGCGCCAGGGGCTGCGCAGGGAGGCGGCGCCGGGGGAAGGGCCCGGCGCGGACCCCCAAAATCCGCGCGGAACACCAAAAGTTTATATGTATGCCGTTTAACTATTCTTCTTCTTTTTCGAATGCATACTTTGTCCCGTCGGCGGCGAAGCAGAGGCGACCCGCTCCAGCGACGGGCGATCCGGGGCAACCGAATGGCTAGTTCGCCGGCGTGCAACAAGAGGGCAACAGGGGAGGTGGAGCACTCAGACGTGGAAGACTTCCGCGTCGAGCGGGCCGGGGCGGCCAGCCCTGGCGGCGGTGACCGCGGCAGCAGCCGGGCCATACCGACGGTGCACCCACGGGCGCTGCCAGGGTGACGTGTATACATACGAGCGACGAAAAAATGGTTCTGCGAGAATTAACATGGCACCCTTACGCGGTGGCCTACGCGAGCCAGCGGCGCGGCACGCTACATCGGAGACGAGGGCGCATACGCGTGACCTTGTGCGGACAGCTTACGCGCCAATGCCGGCGCAGACGACCCCGTTATGTTGCGTCGCTCGTGCGCGTGAAGGAGAGAATGAGAGAGAGAGAGAGAGAACGAGAGAGAGAGAGAGCGAGAGACTGAGGCAGAGACCGAGACCCTAAGTGCATTATGCTCGCCAGTGTGGACCCCAGACACTGGTGTCTTGCAAGATGTGTGGTGCAAACAACGTGGGCAATCTAGGTGGTGCAATATATGTGGTGCTGTCCACGTGATGCAAAGCAGTGCGAAGCATTGCAAATTGAACAATGCAAAGTAATGCGAAGTAGCGCAAACAAATGCAACTCAACGCGAAATAATGCAAGACATGCAAATTAACTCAATGCCATGCACATCGACGCATAGCAACGCAAAGCAACGCAACGCAATGTAGTACATTGCGAAGCAAGTGATCCAATGCAAAGCCCTGCAACGCAGTGCAACGAACTGTGCAGCAAGTCGAAGCAATTCAACGCACTGCAAAGAAATGCAAGGCAATGCACATCAATGCAAGCCAACGCAAGCCTATGCAACGCAGCGCGATGCGGATGCAATGTGCTGCTATTGCAAAGCAATGCGATTGCAACGCGATGCGATCACAACACAATGCAACGCAATGCAAAACGATTGCAATGCGAGTGGGGGTGCAACGGGCCGTCGGACTCGGGCACGGGTTTTCTATTTGGAAAATGTGCGACGACGGACTAAAAAGGGGTTACTGGTGCCGCACCTCGGTCCAATTCCTTTGAAAATGAGCAAGACATCCTAGATGCAAACACCGTTTGGGAGATCTACAGATGTGCAAATGTATAATTCTACACATATGGATATGCACATGTACATACACATGCACACATTTCTATATATATATATATATATATATACATATAAATATATATGTTGATATATGAACATACACGAATATACATGCGTGCGTACATACATACACTCAGATAAGCATACATGCATAGATGCACACATGCACATGCAGCATGCACAGGTACATATATACATACATACATGCATACATACAAACTGCCCACACATACGTACATACGAGAGAGCGCGTTTCACGGGCGCTAGCCTTGGGAACATTCGGAGGCGCGTTTTCGAGCGGGGGGGGGCGCCCCACCGCAACACTCGGCGCCGTCGATCAGAGCCAAGGGGACTCCCCTGCCCCCTAGCCCCCCCCTCCCGAACCCCCCCTCTCCTTCCAAGAGGGAAGGTGGGGTCCAACCCCCCCCCCGCCGCCGCAGCGCCAATGTAGCGACGATGACCAGAGACGGCCCAGGAGCGGGGGGGGGGTTCAACCCCCCCCCCTTCGCGCCGGCGCCGGCGCCGGCGCTGGCGGCGGACAGCAGCGCCGACGGTGGGGACGCAGCGACGATGACCAGAGAGGGCCCAGAGGCCGCGGAGGGAACACGCAAATCGCCACATCGAGCCCTCGCATACTCAGACGCCCCCGAGACCCTTCTGACGAGACCTCAAGAGGCATCCATTAGAACTCTGACCCTTTGCAATAATACAATGGCGGAAAGAGCCGAAGGCCACACCACCACCACCACCACCACCGCCACCAGACAGCCATACCACCACCACCACCACCACCGCCACCACCACAACCACCACCACAACCACCACAACCCACCATCACCACAACCACCGCCATCACCACAAACCACCTCACCACCACCACCACCAAAAACGCCATCACCACCAGCACCACCACAACCCACCCCAACCCACCACAACCACCTCAACCACCACCACAAACCACCACACCATTACCACCACCACCACCACCGTTTCAACGGCCACCATCACCACAACCCACCACCAACACCACCAACACAAACCATAACACCACTA